ACAGCCCCCACTGCTCGTCCAAAGATCTTGCGTTGTAAATGCCACCACCACTGTCCGGAAGACTCGGTCAACAATATTTGCAGGTTGGTCGTCTACATTATCCAAACCTTGTGTGAACAGAAAGTCCCTACTAAAGAGTTGTATGCCAGTGTTTCCAAAAGCACGTTTTAGGGAATAGTGCCCAAGCCCCCTGACTCTCAGAGTTGTGCCTGTATTTAGAGAAACCAGGAGTTACATTTTCCCTGAAATGCTGCTCTGAGATTCTCCTTCCTCCAAACATCACACATGCACAAAAAATAAACATAGAGCACAGGTCTCAGGCTCCATGTCAAGAAGCAAAACCCAATTAGTTTCTTTTAAAAGACCTGATCCCCCAAATTAATTCAACAGCAGGGAGTATCAAATGTGTGTTTTTTGGTTTTGTTCTGTTGTAACCATTTGTCATGCTGCTGGTGCGAGTGTTTTGGGAAGAACTCCTAAGCTGCCAGGATTCATTCAGAAACAGACTCTGGGAAGCAGGATGGTGACAGGGTCAGGAGAGTCTGCCAGATGACAGGAAAAACATTGTCAGAGTACCAGACAATGCACTCCTCAGCAGGTAATTCTGTTTGCATAAATATTTTCTAACATGTGAACCTGGATACTCTGCCTCCTTCTTCCATACACATCTTTATGCAACTGCAGCCATTTCGCTGGTCAGTGTAGCTGCACTTACTCTCCTGGGTGAGGACAGCAGGGGGTAGAGGCACAGCCCATTAGGCACGGTGGCCCAGGGCGAGTGGGCCCAGGTAGCCAAACAAGTGAAGGTCTCAAAAGTTAAATGTCATTGAAGCACAGCCTGCCTCAGGAAGGATAATGGACCCAACAAGGAGTCGGCTGCTAGGTGAGAAGCGCAGGCAGATACCTGGGCAGCCATGTGGGGCCTCATTATCCAGAAAGGAGCATGAAATTGAATGCATTTTTCCTTCCTGAAACCGTTTTTTTTGTTTTTTATTTCTTACAAAGTGGATCTCATATAAGCTTATCAGTATGTTAGGAAATACATAGTTCAGGAAATAGATATTAACTGCATGACAGGGAGGGAAGTGGGGTATACGCCTATGTATATGTTTCCTTTTATCAGCAAAACCACTGAGCATGGTAGGGGATGCTTATTTCTTACCATTGGATGTGAGGGCTTTAGGATCCAGAGAGGCCTGAGAGCTGGGCTCTTGTACAAGAGAGCAAGGTTGGGTTCACTGAGTGTCGAAAGGTAAAATGATTCTAAGCTCAGACACTATTTCCTGGGGAACAGTGCCTTTTTAAAATTTATTTTTATTTATTTCAGAGAGAAAGAGAGGGAGAGAGATAGAAACATCAATGATGAGAGGGACTCATTGATTGGCTGCCTCCTGCATGCACCCCACTGGGGATCGAGCCCGCAACCCAGGCATGTGCCCTTGACCGGAATCGAACCCGGGACCCTTCAGTCCCCACACTGGCGCTCTATCCACTGAGCCAAACTGCTAGGGCAGCAGTGCCTTTTTGTAGTGAATAGAAAAAGTATCGGGAATTTTACGAAGTTTACTGAAGACAGCAGGCGGAAGCATATTAGGGGGCTATCATGCTTTTTTTGTCTGAGTCTCTAGTAACTAAGAATAAATCTGTGTGTGTCATTTAAATCATAGTCTGGTGATCATACGTTCAGGCTTTCTAAAACTATCCCAATTTCACGTCTTTTGTCCTGTTTTCCTTATAGGCCATCGAAGTGTCCTAAGTTCATTGGGAGGACAGTGTTCAGGCAGGTTAACTGCAGTGCGAATTCTCTGTGTGGGAAGGGGAAGCGTGGTTTTCTTAGAGTACAGGGGGAGGAGGCATGGAAGGAGTTGAGCCTGGAGACTAGGGAAGGATTGCCAGTGGCCACGTGGGCTGTGTCACAGATGTTGGTCTGATTCCTGAGAACACAGGAAGCCATGGAAGCTAATGTTTAATTAAGCAGGAGAAACAGTGACAATGAGCTTTTTTGAAAAATTTTCTTTTCTTCAGAGTTTTGGATGTATTCGAGGGAAACAAAAATGAATTTGAGAACAACAACGGTTAGGTAAGGGAAATTGAAAAGTGGATTCAGGAAGGACAGTTCGTGTGAGAGAACATGATCTTGTACGAGGGTGGTGCTGGTGCAGGAGAGGTGGATGTGTTGGAGAACTATTTAGAAGGAAAGTTTTATGCTGGTGAATTGTATATGGGAGGGCTTCACACGTTTCTGGATGTACATTTAGATGCATAGTACAGCCTTTCAATGAAGAAGGACAAAGGAAAACAGTCGGGTTCCAATCTAGACATTGTTGAGTTTAAGGTTTCTAACACATCCAAGTGAAGATATCAAAGGGTAGGCATAGGGTGTGAATTTGGAACTCAAATACAAGATTGGGGAGGGAATGTGGAATAAAACGTGAGTCAGTTTTTGCTATGGAACAAGCTCAAAATCATAGTGGCTTACAACTAAAGACTATTTATGTATTTATTTTAATCCTCGCCTGAGGGTTTTTTCAATTGGTTTTTTAGAGAGAGTGGGAGTGGGAGAGACAGAGAGAGAGAGAAACATGGATATGAGAGAGGCACATCAATTGGTTGCCTCCTGCACACAACCTGACCAGGGCCAAGGATGGAGCCTGCAACCGAGGTAAGTGCCCTTGACCGGAATTGAACCTGGGACTCTTCCATCAACAGGCCATGGCACTCTATCCATTGAGCCACACCGGCTAGGGCTATTTATTTTTATTTTTTAAAAATTCCTGTTCTACAAGTGGGCTGCCGCTGTGTTGAGCTATGCTGGATTGGGTGTGCTTGGCTTCGGTCTGCTACTTGAGCTCAGGCCTACTCCACATGTTTCTCCATTCTTTTTGGACCAGCAGCTACCCACATGAGTGTGGGGGAGCAAACTTTTAAAGCTTCTGTTTGTGTCATGTCCTCTAACATTCCATTTACAAATCATATGTCATAGTTAAGCTCAAAGTCAAGGAGACTATGTCTAGGGTGGGGCATGAAGAATTGAGAACCATACTAGAATAATCCAATCTACCAGAGGAAGACAGCCTTGAGGCATGTCATGCTTGGGTAAAGGAGGCTCTCCCAGGAGACTGAGAATTAGCAGTGAAACATGGTGTCATTAAAGCCAAGTTTACAGAGGGAGGATGCTGTTAGAGGTCAAATAGGATAAGAACTGAAATGCAGCAATCACATTTATTGACCTTGATAACTGCTGTTTAGAAATATTTAATGTGGAAGTAGCAATGGAAGCCAGATGGGAATGGGTTGTGAATTACATGGTTTCAAACTTTGATTTATGACAGCAAAAAAAACAAAACAAAAACACCACTACAACCCCCCCAAAAACCCAGCAACAATAACAATAGAACCCCTCAAAAAACATGGGTATACCATGACAGTCAGCATGAATCAGTTAACTTGTAGACATCAATAGAAAACTAATCTTGATTGAGTATTTTTATAAACTCTAGCATGTTTATTTTATAGCATTCCCTATAAAAAATGTAACATTATCTACATTTTTCAGGTGAGAAATCTGAGGCTCTGAGGGATTAAGTAATTTTTACTAGGTCACTGTTCGTGCTGATATGATGAGAAAATTGTGGCCAATATTCCAAAGTCCTGAATCCTTGACCAGCAGCCTACGCCTGACAATGGCTCTCAAAGGAGTGAATATTAACTCTTGAGTGAAACCGCAAATCTATTTGCTAATGATATATTGACTATAGTTGAGTCTCCTGTGCACAGAGATCAATTGTGAGTGAATCACGGGGGCTATTCTGGTCCTGCGCCCTAAGCCCTGGAATAAGTCCAGTCTTTCTGCCTCCATTCCTGGAAGCCAAGGTTACACTCGTTGACCTTCCTCCTCCACCCCTTACCCCCAATAACTTGTACATGGTACTTTTCTAAATATAATAAAAATGTATTATAGATTAATTAGAAAAATAAATTTAAAATACTTAAAAATTATGTGCTCCTTTTTTTCTATTTTCCATTAGATTCAACAGCTAAATGTATTGCTATACAAATTTCAATTTCTGTGTTAATCTCACAGACCAATAACAAGCTGTTTGCTGACTTGAAAGGGAGCACCCTTTGAGTAATACGACACTCATTCCTAGGTACAAAATTCTAAACACAAGAGTGTCCTCGCTTGAGGCTGAGATAAGGGCCGGTCTAAGCTGTCCGGTTGGCTATGAAGCAGATCTTAGCCAAGCTGAGTGTCTTGGTCAGGGGTGGGCAACCGTTTTGTGAGTGCGTGCCAAAACCAGCAAAATCTCTGACTCAAAATTCTTCTGCGTGCCAACCCTAATTTTTTGAGAACCTGTTACGCCTACTTGATATCTCTTAAGGTGTACATATGTGAAGAACCTTGAAGAAATAATAAAATTCATTAGAGCGACAAAAACACAGTATATGATGATGAAAAATACATTTATTTTTTAATGTATACATGTTATGTAAAATTATTTATTTATCTAAGATCCACCTACATTGAATTTATCTGAAAAATAAAAAAGTCGATATTAAGAAAAAAATTGTAAATGGAAGATTATAAGAGAGGGTTTCGCGTGCCAGCAAAAGTTACTGGCGTGCCTTGTTTGGCACGCGTGCCAGAGGTTGCCCACCCCTGGGCTAGGTAGCTTTCATGCTCATTGCCACTCCCACATTCCTAGAGAGAATAATCCAACACGTGGCCCAGATTAAGAGCGCATCGTAGTTAAGAGATTCTGAAATCCCACATAGTAATTGAGAGAACCTGTGCAAGGTTTAGAGGGTTTTTAAATTCTTCCTGAGTACCATCAATGATTTACTAGCCAACACCAAGGCCAAAGTCATTCTGGGCCTTGTTTCCTACCAGGTGCAGATGTGTCTGTTTCCACATTCCATGCCATTTCCACAGCCTGATGGCATGCATGTTGGAGGATGTGGTGTAAATATATCATTCGTTGAGCCTTTTTAATATCCATAATTCAGAGTAAGAAGTGAAGCCGTTGTCATATCTCCCTCACGATAATATCTGTCCTCTAAACATCTTTCCAGGTGTTATTTCACACTGTTAATCTTTCCCATTCCATTTCCAGATGCTACTCCTGGAACCACAGACTATCACTGCTTATCACTGGAAAGCTGCACAGTCTCCTCAATCACTCTTTTTACATGACTTTCACCATGCCAAGATCCTGTCTCATTTCCCTGTCCTACCAAGTGTAATCTCAGCCTGCTTTATTTTTTTTCTCTATATGGAATCTGGTCCCACTTTATGTATTTTTCTTTGTTTTACTTGATTTGGTCTTTAATCGTCATTTTTGTCCCTGAATCATCACCTCTCTCAGGTTCCTCCACTCCCTCACGCAAGTTTATTCATTTCTAAAATTTATTTTTTTTTTTACTCTTTTCCAGAGACAATTTTAAATACTTTCTCCTTTATCTTATCGAGTTCAGACTAAAAATTGTCCTGCCTGGGCGGTTTTCTGGGGTTACTGGTGTCATCAGTCGCATCAGATGTTTGCACAAAGGATGTGTAAGTGACACCAAGCTGCCTACATGAGGAATTAGATGAGTCTCCAGCTGGGCTTTGAAGAGTCACAAAGGGTAGAAGGAAAAGCTTAGGGACCGTGAGCCTTTTTACAAAGTTTGTATTAACCCAGGGCTTTGAAAGCTCTTGCTGAATGTGGTGGTGTGAGTTGTTAGACAGGTGCTCCTGACCCAGGGTCTCCGAGTGTTTAAAGTGCACACTGTTCTCATTTGTTTATGTAGCTTCCATTGCATCCCGTTGATCCTGCTGCTGCCCTCGCCATCTGAACATTGAGCTTTAAGATCTCTATTTATTTATTTTTAGTGGATGTGGAGTTCAAACCAAGGCAATAATGAGCACAGCGGATCCTGCATCAGAACTGGTAATTTAGTAGGAAGAGGCTCTGACTTCAAATTTGCTTATGAAGTCTCTTACAAGGAGTAACTCTCTTTTTGTGCCTCTCATTAGTGCTAGATGAGAATGTTACGTGGCCCATTCATTGTTGGACTGAATAGAAAGTGCACAGCGTAGGGTTCTTTAAAACCATATATAGGGAACCATTGGAGATTTCTGAGCAGAGAAGGGGAATGTAAGGTTTATCAGGCCGAATCCAGAGAGAGGAGCGAGGGAGTCCTGCTGGAAGGCTCTCAGGGCAGTCAGATGAGAAGGAGTGAGGACACCTGCATCAGGTGGTGGGAGTGAGAATATACAAGTGCTCTATTAATATGAACATTGAGACTGCTTCAAAATATCCTGTACCTCCCTGAAAAAAAAAAAAGAAAAAAGAACAGACTAGAATGCTAAATCATTTGTTTGGCTGCCAGAGAAGGACATACGAGAGTTACACATCTCCTATATTGACGCCTCAGAGGAAAAGCCAGAGAAAGGGGACAGTCGTAGTCATATGTATTTCCAACCGTCCAGTAAGAACTAATGAGAAATTGGGGTCCCAAAGGCTGTTTATGGTGCATTTGACCATGAATGAGAAGAGCCAAACCTTGCAGGTTCTGGGCGCATACCCGCCAAAAAGAGTAGCTCTCATTCCCTCAAAACTGAAGCCAGGTGCACCCCTTTCTTTATTGATAGTCAGTGCTCACTTGGGCATGCCCAGCATCTCTCGGGGAAGTTATTCCCTGGTGATCTTTCTACATATTGCAGACACTTGCTCACCTTTGGAATATTGGGCAGATCCAAGGAGTTTGAATCTATAGAGCAGCGGTTCTCAACCTGTGGGTCGCGACCCCTTTGGTGGTCGAAGGACCCTTTCACAGGGGTCGCCTAAGACCATCCTGCATATCAGATATTTACATTACGATTCAAAACAGTAGCAACTTTACAGTTATGAAGTAGCAATGAAAATGATTTTATGGTTGGGTCACAACACGAGGAACTCTATTTAAAGGGCCAGAAGATTGAGAACCACTGCTGTAGTGCCATCCAAGGGCTGTAACAAAAATGTTATTATCACTGCTTTGACCTCATGTGACTTTTAAATTCTCTAAGGCTTTGCCTTTTCATTAGTTAACATCATGTGGAGAGGCATTTCAGTATTGATCATTTTGGGATTCAACTCTTGTTCCATTTTGTCAATTACTTTTCTTTGCCTATAACTCAAGGGCAGCATTTTTTTAAAATATATTTTCATTGACTTTAGAGAGGAAGGGAGGGGAAATAAATATAAATGATAAGAGAGAATCACTGATTGGCTGCCTCCTGCATGTCCCCTCCTGGAGAACGAGCCTGCAACCGGGCTGCACTGGGAATCGAAGTGTGACTTCCTGGTTCATAGGTTGACTCTCAACCACTGAGCAACACCGGCCAGGCAGGGGCAATATTTTTAATTTGTAGTCCTTATGGGAATAAAATGATTGATTCTACATTCCTGTATACATAGCACCACTTTGAATTTTGTCTAAAATGATTGCTGCTTTTGTTTTCTTCATGATCTTCATCTCTTATTGTTATCACTTCCAACGCTCTGGGAATGATGTGGCAATAGCTGAACACATGTCAAAACTAAGCTTAACATGGCAGCCAGACCGCAGGATGTCCAGACAGGCAGGTGGGAGGAGTTAGCCGCCTCTTGTGCCATTCAGCAGCCACCCCTTAGCGGGAGGTGGGACTGTCCCGCTCTGACTGGAGCATAGCTTTGTTTACATATGTGCTTGCCGGAGAGTTGAAAGTCCTCAAGTAATTCTTAAGCTTTTATAAGAATAGAGTTGAAAGGACCAAGACTTGAAGAAAAGAAAAAAAAACACCTGCAAACTAAATTCTGAATTTTGGTTTTCTCCAAAGGTAGTAATGGTGTAACATTTTAGTAATTCTACAATTACGCCAACCTAATTATGTGAGCTGTAATTTAAAACTGACCCATTAAAGATATCAGGAAAGGCAAATAAATGTGGTGTAACATATTCAGTTTACATTATTTCTAACGGTAATGAATGATTTGGTTTTCAAACAAATCACTTCTCCAACAGCATTCCGGAATGAATTAAGCACAAGATCTGAGGTTCCACTGTACTTCTAAATGAACCTATCTGGGATTTAACTATCCAGTAAATAACTGTCCAGTTTTCTCAAGGGCAGCATTTTTTTAAAATATATTTTCATTGACTTTAGAGAGGAAGGGAGGGGAAATAAATATAAATGATAAGAGAGAATCACTGATTGGCTGCCTCCTGCACGTCCCCTACTGGGGAACGAGCCTGCAACCGGGCTGCACTGGGAATCGAACTGTGACCTCCTGGTTCATAGGTTGACTCTCAACCGCTGAGCAACACCGGCCAGGCAGGGGCAGTATGTTTAATTTGTAGTCCTTATTGGAATAAAATGATTGATCATACATTCCTGTATACATAGCACCACTTTCAGTTTTGTCTAAAATGATTGCTTTTGTTTTTTTCATGATCTTCATCTCTTGTTGTGATCACTTCCAACACTGTGGGAATGATGTGGCAATAGCTGAACACATGTCAAAACTAAGTTTAATATGGCAGCCAGATTGCAGGATGTCCAGACAGGCCGGTGGGAGGAGTTAGTCCCCTCTTGTGCCATTCAGCAGCCACCCCTTAGCGGGAGGTGGGACTGTCCCGCTCTGACTGGAGCATAGCTTTGTTTACATATGTGCTTGCCGGAGAGTTGAAAGTCCTCAATTAATTCTTAAGCTTTTATAAGAATAGAGTTAAAAGGACCAAGGCTTGGGTAAACCTTGTAAACACTGTACTCAGTAAAATAAAACAATACATAGAGCACCTTCAAGTTTCCTTTCTAGCTAGCAATTTCAATGAGAAGCTTATAAATTATTTTTGCGTTGTTGCAGATAATATGCACTTGATATTCTCTCACCCTCTTGCCCTTACTCCAACAACATAGTTGATCCCTACCTTACTTGATGACTGTGGGACACTGACTCTTTTCTCCAGGGTCTCTCTCCCTCCCTCTCCATCCCCTCTCTATAATTTTACTAGGGGCCCAGTGCACGAATTCGTGCACCTTGAAAGGAACTGGGCTGCGAGGCTGCAGGAGACACAGGGGCGGGTCTCGGCCCATCCTGCACCCCTG